GATTTGCCAACAGTAGTTAACTTATTTGTCGATCATTTTGAGGCTATGTACTGTCCTGCATCATTTGGTAACCTACTGGTAACGATCACGCTGTTTATGATACTAATTCTGTCACCTTTGGTATCTCCGAAGTCAGTTACGACGAAATGGTTGAATCTTTCAAAAAATTCAAGACAAAGGCTACAATTGGCCCAGATGAGATTCCTACATTTTTAGTCAACGATTGCGCCCCTACACTCTCACATCCGTTCTTACATATTTTCAACCTAATAATCAAAAACTCTGAATTTCCAAGCGCGCACGCGATGTTCAGAACTTTGTGATTTTTTTACTCCCTTAGATGAAAACACCCCCCCGTAAATATTTGTATACGGGTTATTCTAAGACCGCTAAACACAAATATGAATTTTAATTTGCGTTTCGAGTTGCAGAAATTAGTCATTTTTCGATTTTGGTCGAACAGTATACGCGCGCACGCAATGTTCACAACTTTGGGATTTTTTTACTCCCTTAAATGAAAACACCCCCCCGTAAATTTTTGTATACGAGTTATTCTAAGACCGCTAAACTCAAATATGAATTTTAATTTGCGTTTCGAGTTGCAGAAATTAGTCATTTTTCGATTTTGCTCGAACAGTATACGCGCGCACGCGATGTTCACAACTTTGGGATTTTTTTACTCCCTTAAATGAAAACACCCACCCGTAAATTTTTGTAAACGGGTTATTTTAAGACCGCTAAACTCAAATATGAATTTTAATTTGCGTTTCGAGTTGCAGAAATTGGTGTTTTTTCGATTTTGGTCGAACAGTATTCGCGCGCACGCGATGTTCACAACTTTGGGATTTTTTTACTCCCTTAAATGAAAACACCCCCCTGTAAATTTTTGTATACGGGTTATTCTAAGAGTGCTAAACTCAAATATGAATTTTAATTTGCGTTTCGAGTTGCAGAAATCGGTAATTTTTCGATTTTAAAATCTATAGCTAGAATCTATGGCTAACTTCACAACCGTAAAAAATTCGCCACAAGTAAACGCAAATGTGCTCCGCTGATCTGAGTACATAAAATTGTATCTGAAATGATTTTAATTTTGATTACTTTCAATATGAGGACATGGAACTCTTTCACAAATATGAAAGAGATTTTAAAATGGATCTGGAACTGTTCGAAATTAAGAAACACTGACAATGAATTATTTAATTACCAAACAGATCTTTTCCATTTTTTTTATTTATATTTTATTATTAAAAAAATTTTTGGTTTTCTATCTGATTTGCTTTCGGTCGGCTCTTTCTTTTTCTCGGTTATGCGCCCTCTTCTTCGTCATAATAAACTTATTATCGTTGTGCGCTGTCTCGCATCTACCCATCGGCATCGTAAACTTTTATCTTGTTTCTGTGGGTATGTTTTACATTTCGGTTTTTATTTTTTGTGCTTTATTTTATTAGCTAATTTTGTACTGTATTAGTTTGTAATTTTTAATACAACAGCCGAACAGTTTCAAGGTGCAAGGTCTGTTTGCACGATCTACGTCGACATATCTTCATTCTAATAATCCAAGAAAATGTTTGAGCGCAGAACAAACCTCGTTTGACCCTTTACCACTTTCGTTTTCGGTCCAGGTNCTACTATAATCAAAATTACTAAGTATTAAACTGTCGCATAATCTTATCTTATTTGATGTCGTCAACAAATATCTACTAGCATATATCATTTTCAGAGCAGCAAACGATTTCCCAACTTTACTAGTAATATGTTCACGGAATCTTAAATCGCTATCAAGCATTAAACCCAAGTTGCGAGACGTGTCACTGACCTTTATTGGTTTCTTGTTAATATTTACGAAGAAAGAGCTAGCATACTTCATACGTGTTTTTTGTGCATCACCACAGACTTGTCTGGGTTTATACTCAGGCAATGTTCTGTGGATATGTCAATCAAACTACGTATATCACTCTCAAGCGTTAACCTACCCGAGGTTATATTTTCAGGAGGAAACGATAAATAAATTTGCGAGTCATTTGCATAGAAGTGCACCTCGTAGTTTGATAATGTTCTAAGAAAATCACAGGTATATATACAATATAAAAGAGGCCCATAAAAGAGTCTTGAACCTTGTGGAACTCCGGCTTGAAGTTGTTTTGGTGTGGACAATACATTGTTCAATTTGACACCTATCATTCAAGTAGCTCGATATCAACGCTTGAGAGTGAGAACTGAAACCTATATAGTGTAATAACGATACTAAAATTTTATGATTTACTCTGTCAAATGCCTTGGAATAATCCAAAGTTACTAATGCAGTCAGATAGTTTTTATCACATGCTCTTAAACAATAATCCACAATATGCATCAGCGACGTCTCGCAACTGTAATGCTTTCGGAAGCCAGATTGTGTATGTGGCAGGATACCATACTTGATCTGTCTCCTAAAATCTTTGATGGAAATTGACTTCTTTCCATGAATTCTTCTATATAGCAAGAAGGAGTTTACAACAGCCGTATCAATTATCCTTGTGAACATACACCAGTACCATTTCTTACCGCTTATTGCTATAGAATGTTTTTCTAGGAGCCAATCATGATGGTCTACCCCACCCATGTATGGATTATAATGGTGAGTCTTGGCTGAGCAACTTACACTTTTAATTTTTGTACTTTGCTCCATCTTGCAACTGATGCACACTGTATATAACGTTCCATCTAGTCGTTGTTCTTAGTTGTTCTTATAGCGTTTTGCTGTTATACGAAAGTCCCCCACAAGATCAAGCAACAACAGTTTTTCTCTGAATTGTTTGTGAGAGATGTTTTTATTGGTATTAGTAGGAGATGCTTTGTATAAAATATAAGCATTGATGATTGATGCTTCCAAACCTCGGAAAAAAAGTTTCTTCCACCATTTTAGGGTTTTACGAAGGAAGCAGTAGGTTGCAGTATATTGGTCTGCTACATCGACGCCGCCCATGTTTTTATTATATTGTACTTGACTTGAAAACTGGCTGCGTTCTATTATCCCCAACTCTTCTTCTGACAATTTAGGATCTTGAAGTTGTCAATATCACATGTTTGCGACAAGCAACTGTTTCCACAATTCTTACTTTCAGTGATTTCATCCAGAAAGGTATTCCTTTTCTATTCGTCATAACTGTTAAATTTCCGTTAAATAACATTGCAAATTAAGTTATTTTTCTGCAAGTATGATGCTAGTATAGAGTCTATCGGTAAAAATATGGTATCCTATAGCTTCAGGCATTGACTGTTGTAGATTATTATACAGGTGTAGAACAATCCGGCTTGTGACTGGTAAATCGGGATAAATTAGTGGATTTGTCGTTTGATGTCTAAAATATGGTAAAAATGTGTATAAATATCCACATGATGAGTCAGCTAATACGTATAGACGAAGTCCCCATTTGTTTGGTTTTTTGGGATTGTCACGTTTTGAATGAAATTCTTCCTTTGAATCCAACATTGGATTCATTTACAGAGATATTCTGAGATGTTAACTTAATGTATTTCAAAAGATGTTGAACATTACTGTTTTTTGCACACTAATTTTATGAATGGGTGATCGTTTTGCATTATTTAACGCATTTGTGACATTCGTATTATTACTTTTCAAAACACCATGGGAGAACAGAGAACGAGTATAAGTACTTTTCACGTGTACTGTTTTTCTAACTTTGTAGTAGGTAAATACTCTACCATTTTGAATGGGTTTTCGTTTAAAAGAAGTACTCATTGCCGTTTTATAATCGTTTATATTCCGTTTTGCAGGACTGTTTAATTGTGTGCAAAAATATCATAGTAACCTTCAGGGCTTGCAATTTGTTCTCGCCTCTTTATCATTTTTTTTAGAGCATCCAATAACACAATTCTCTTATAGCAAATATGTGTACAATTTCGGTAAAGATAGTGTTTTGTACATAACACAGTAGCATAAATACAATAGCCGAGTTCTCGTTCTGCCCTGGGCATGAATCGGAGAACAGTTTCAAGGTGCAAGGTCTGTTTGCAGGATCAACGTCGACATATCTTGATTCTAATAATCCAAGAACATTTTTGAGCGTAGAACAAACCTCGTTTGACCCTTTACCACTTTCGTTTTCGGTCCAGGTGTACGACAACGTATTCTCCCTATTCTGATTGAGCTCAATAATTACAAAAATAAGATTATACAGCCACAACTGTCTCATCTAATAAACCTCTGAAATGTTTAATTTTGGCAGAGGCAGATTCTGGTGCATATCGAAGAAACTTTTACTATATTACTAGACTCTCCTTTCTTTAAAAGTTCATAAAACTTTTTTACACGTAATTTGTGTTCTTTAAGTTTTGTGGTGACACGAGTTCTGATCTCCATATTTGTAGCATTTGTCATCTCCAATTGTGTTTATTCACAAAAACTCCGGTCTAGGAACACCTTCCTTAAAAAAGTAGGCAGCGATGGATTTAATTTTGAATTGAGATATTTGGGCAATTGACTTAAATGCAAACTTGCACATGTGCATCAATTTTGCAGATGTATTAATCATTGCGTAATCGCTGCTTTGGTTCCGCAGTTCTTAAACGATGCCTCTTTGGTTTTTGCAGTGTTATAAATTTGATAATAAAATTGTTTTGTTAAGCAGCTAAACTATGCATGTACAGTTTATTCAAGAATTCTATAATGAAAATTATGAAATTATGTACCAAAATAGAAGTACTACCAAAAGCAGCTAACCTTGCGAAACATAATTTCGTGCCTTTACGGTTTTTCTATCGGCGCTATTGCGTTTCACAGATTCTTTAGTTTTCTTCCAGCAACTTTTCCGTTTTCCTCTTAAGTAAAGTCAACACACTCGTAGATGCTCATGAGCGTAGACTTACTCAATTTTAAAATATAACCTTTTTGTATTTATTTTAAACACAAAAACGCGATTTTCGATTTTTTGGACTTAGTTAGTTTCGGAAAAGACCTCTTCAATTATTATTAATCATTCAAACTAACCTTTTAGGTTACCTTTTGAGCGTCGTCATTTTGAAACATGCATTTCAAACGATGTTCTTTACATCGTGGGGGGAACCGGAAGTTTCAGAATTATCCAAGATAATATGTTCTATTACAAATATAAAACAAGTATGTTTATAAATAGTTTAAACCATTCCTAATAATTTTTTATTGCAGATGAATGGAGTAAAACGCAAATTTTACCATGCGCTGGTCGTCAAGTAAAATGTTGCGATTTCCAACAAAAACTTTTTTTATTAAACATAAATGGAAAATGTGGATATCTTTTCGATTTAAACCACAATCGATGGATACAACTCCCCATTTACGATAATAACATAGAAGTAATTTACCCAAATAAATTTTCGTTGTTCTCTTACGAAGATAAAATTTATTTAAAAGGAACAAGGTTAATTACAATGAATGTAAAGGATAACAAATTAGTATTGGAAGATAACAAGTACTTAAATTCGATCTTATACGATCAAATTGATTCTGTGATTTGCAACGATCTTGTTTATACGTTATATACGGAAACTGTCGATGATAAAAAACGAGTTGGATTAGAAAAATTCGATTTAAAATCGTTGGAGAAGGAGATTATTTTTGAAAAATTGAGCGAAAATTCATTTTTGGATTTAAACGAGGATGTTTGTTTGTTCCGGGAAAACATAAAGTTGTTTAATTTTCAACATTTTTCTATGGTGGAAAATGATGATTATGTTGGTGATTATAATTTATGATTATTGTTGATTTTTGTTAAATTAAAAAAAAATTGTTACTTATAAACGGCATAAATCAAAAATTACAAATAAATTAAAACAAAAAGAAACTTAGTTTAATTTATTTCTTATATATTTAATCTCATCTAATCTAAATTTAATATCGTTTTTGATGAAAGCAATTGAGAATAAGAATTGGAATGTTGAGAAAAACGAGATTTTCGTTTTTTATTTCTCTAAAAATATAAGATGAGACAGGAATAGACAGGCTCAAACTATTGAAAATTGTTTGGTGTCTGTCTATTTTTTTCACAGAACACTGACTGAATGACAGCTATCACAAGCACAGAAGCCGCTTGGTACGTTTTATGATTATACAGAATGTTTCTGTAAGTCGTGGCATAAATTTAACCACAAATACTATATAGAGTCAAAATGTTGATTGATGTAAAAATTTTTGAAGAAAATAATCTAGAGTGTGATTTTGTACTTTTAAACTGGTTTTTATTTTATATAGAATTTAAGTCTAACTAATTTCGGCCCTTGGCCATCTTCAAAGACTCTACAAATAGATTAACAACTCATCTTATCCATTTTACAAACAAGTTTCTTAATGTTTCTTTTTCTTTTATTAAAAAAGATCACATTTCAAAGTCGAAATTATTATTAGTTAAGATTATTAGTTACTAATTCACAAAATTAATGTTTAAAAAGTTGTAAAATGAAATTAAGGACGAAGTGTTACAAGTTTACAGGTTAAAATTTAAGAGCGCTCTTTTTTTAACAAAAGAAATATTAAGAAACTTGGGAAAAATTCGAGAATCATCATGTGACTTTAAAATCGACGATTTTTTTAATCAATGTGAAATGACCCAAAAAGCATGTTAAAAATAAAAAGAAAGTACTGAAAAGTGATTAACACTAGATTAACTTCAATTTTAAAACTTCTATTATATGATAACTAACTTCAGGTTTAAAATGTCAACCTCAATTTTGACGTATTTGTAATCTTCATTAAAAATCCTTTAAAATGAGTACAAACACGACATATTTATGTGCAATATTAATGAAGTTATGGTCAACTTCCGGATAAGAATGTCAACGTCTATTTTGACATATTGTAATCGTCGTGAAAAATTCTTTAAAATGAGCCCAAATATATATATAAGCAACTTCCGGTTTGAAATGTCAACGTCATTTTGACATATGTTTAATTTTTATAAAATGTCTTAATATTTGTCACAAAAACAAAAATATAATAAAAAAGAATCAAAAATTAAGGTTGGTATTAATATTTAAAAATTAAATTGCTAACTTCATTGTTGCTAACTTCGGGTTTAATGTTTTTTATTCTAACTTTTTTGTTTTTTGACATAAATGCGTCATCTTTGGACTCATTTTAAAGGTTTTTTAATGAAGATGACAAATATGTCAAAATTGACGTTTCAAACCGGAAGCGATTGTATCTCCATTAATATTAAAGCTAAATATGTCGAATTTGGACTCATTTTCAAGGATTTTTTATGAAGTTGACAAATATATCAAAATTAATAATTAAAAGTTCGAACTTTTTGGATTTGTGAGATAAATGCATCATATTTGGCCTCACTTTAAAGGTTATTTTACGAAGATTACGAATATAATAATAAAATTAAAGTTAACATTGACAACTGAAAGTTTTTTTTGCACGACTAAACCCAAATATTTCTAGTTCTCGTTCAAGTTTTAGTTCAATAAAAATATATAACATAGTAATATCTTATATGCTATCTAGCGTTACCTACCACTGCCACTAGAACTAACACTAGACCGAGAATTACAAACATTCAGATTTAGTCCCACGTTTCTCAAGACGGCTAAACTCGAATGATTCTAGTTCTAGGTCTTGTGTTGTTTCTAATGATAGTGGTAGTGTAAAACTAGAACTAACAATAGACTTAGAACTAGAAAGATTTGGGTTTAGCCGTCTTAAGAGACGTACGGCTAAACCCGAATGTTTCTAGTTCTAAGTCTAGTGTTAGTTTTAGTGCAATAAAAATATGCAACATAGTGATACCTTATGCTAACTAGCGCTACCTACCGCTGTCGTTTGTAAAATAGATAAAATGAGAGATATTGATCTATTTGTAGAGTCTCTGAAGATGGCCAAGGGCCGAAACTAGTTAGACTTAAATTCTATATAAAATAAAAAATATGATGCAAATCGGACTTGAAATCGTATAACGTGATTGTCGCTTAGCTTTATCCTTTAAAACAAATGGTATTTTAGGTCTTGCGGTAGTCTGCATTTTTTCCAAGATAAGTTACATCTTTACCTACCAGACAGCATGTAAATCTCTAAAAACGATAAAATGTCGCTTAGTCAAGTGATGTATAGCATGGTCCAATTATCTTTATAAATAAAATTTTTTTTCTATATCTGTCAAAGTCAAATTTTTAGGGTTTGGTATTACTGGTATTACCTAGGGTGCTTAAAAAATGTATGTTGTTTTACTGATTCCTAGTAACATTTTCAATAACAAGTAAAGAGTTGAGGTTAAGAAGTTTTATATCAAAACTTTAATTTAATATATGTAGATATTATAAATAAATTCACAGCAAATATTAAAATGTTGTCAAGGTGTCAAAAATAATAAAAAATACTCACTTTTCTGAAGAAAATCCTGCTTGCTCACTTTCGTTGCAAATTTAATCGCTCGTAGGATTCGATGCAATAAATCTTACTTTTTGCATTTAAATCACCAAAAAAATAATACAAAAACTTAAATTAGTATTAAAAATGATACAAAAATCGGAAGAAAAAGCTGTGAAGTGAAGTTAGATTTTTTCTGTGTGAATGTTTCTGTCAAATTTACCTGCCAGATTAATATAACCTAGAAATTGTTTAATTTAATTCTTCTTTTTTTCTAGTTATAATTTTAATCATTAATGTTATTATTATTTCTTTCCATCTTTGGGAATTTAATTTAAATAAAACAAATAATACTGGTACTAGTACCAATCTGAATAAACATAAAAAGACATAAAAGAACAACAGATTTCAAAGTATAAATAAATTAACAACAAGAAAGAAATAAAACGTATAATAAAAAAAAATAGTTTTAAGATATGAGATTTATAAAATATAATTGACGTGGCAAATCTTGTGAAGATGATTACATTTGTTAATCGAAACCGGTAGAGCTGAACAATTAAATAATGCATCTCAACACACCTAGATGTTTTTAATTCAAATTAAACTAGTTTTAATTGTTATTCAGCACTAGGTTGTTATATATTTCTTACCCTACCTTTCTTAAGATGGCTAAACCTGAATTTTCTAGGTCTAGTGTTAGTTTTACTGACAGTATTAGTGCAAAACTATAACCAACTCTGGTATTGCACTAGCACTGTCAGTAGAACTAACGCTAAACTTAGAACTAGGAACATTCGGCTTTAGCAGTATGTTTCTTAAGACGACTAAACCCGAATCTTTCTAGTTCTAAGTCCAGTGTTAGTTAATTTTGCATTAACTCTTACTAGAACTAACACTAGACCTAGAATTAGAATCATTCGGGTTTCTTGGCCGTCTTGAGAGACGTGCGGCTAAACCCAAATGTTTCTAGGTCTAGTGTTACTTCTAGTTTTGCACTAGCACTATCAGTAGAACTAACACTAGACTTAGAACTAGAAACATTCGGATTTAGCCGTACGTTTTTTAAGACGGCTAAACCCGAATGTTTCTAGTTCTTAGAATAGTGTTAATTCTAGTTTTACATTAGTACTGTTAGTAGAACACAAGACCTAGAACTAGAATCATTCGGGTTTAGCCGTCTTGACAGACGTGCGGCTAAACCTGAATATTTCTAGTTCTAGGTCTAGTGTTAGTTCTAGTGACAGTGCTAGGTAGCGCTAGACATCACTATGTTGCATATTTTTATTGAACCAAAACTAGAGCTAAAATTAGATCTAGAACTAGAAACATTCGGATTTAGCCGTACGTTTTTTAAGACGGCTAAACCCGAATATTTCTAGTTCTAAGTTCAGTGTTAATTCTTGTTTTACATTAGTACTGTTAGTAGAACTAACACTAGACCCTAGAATCATTCGGGTTTAGCCGTCTTGAGAGACGTGCGGCTAAACCCGAATATTTCTAGTTCTTGGTCTAGTGTTAGTTCTAGTAACAGTGCTGGGTAGCGCTAGACATCACTATGTTGCATATTTTTATTGAACCAAAACTAAAGCTAACATTAAATCTAGAACTAGAAACATTCGGATTTAGTCTCTCAAGACGGCTAAACCCGAATGATTCTAGTTCTAGGTCTAGTGTTAGTTCTAGTTTTAGTCGTTATTCAGCACGTGTGTTGTATATTTTTATTGAACTAAAACTACTATCCGTGCGAAAAGTCAAGGCCCCTCACTTTAGACATCGATATCTTCACAACTGTTCGATAAAAAAAATTGCGACAAAGTTTGTTGTAATCACTGAACATTTCTACGTAACATATGTCAATTTGAAAATGTTCGGATCCACGGTTTTCTTTTTATCGCGAGGTAAATGAAAAAAGTACCCGATTTTTTACCGTACCGGCAACTTTGCGATTTTTTTTCTCGAAAACTATCGCACGAAAAAATTTGAATTTTGAACAGTTGGTAGCCTGATGTGCTCTTAATGAGTGGCATATTTTATTTTTTCAATATTCCATACAGTTTCGCGGAAAATCGCGGTGTAGTAAGACGCCGTTATGTCGAAAACGGCTGAGTGGATTTCCTCGCGGATTTCACCAAAATATGTCGATTGTCGGATTCTGTTATCAATTTTTCAAAATTAGAGCTCCCTAATTTTTTAAGAGCGATTTAATGGAATTACAAATTAAAGAGAAACAGATATAAGCTCTGCGGGGTCACCGCGGTACCGCCCAATCGGAACAGATGGTGCGTCTCAGACAGGACGTCGCGCCTTATTTCTTTATGGAGGTAAGATAAAGGCGCGACGTACTGGCTGGGATGCTGGCACTCTCAAAAATCGGGTATCTTTTTCACTTAACTCGCGATAAAAGAAAAACTGCGGACTCGAAAATTTCCAAATTAACATGTGATACGCAGAAATGTTCACTGATTACAATAAACTTTACCGCAATTTTTTTTATCGAGCGGTTACGAAGATATCGATCTCTAAAGTGGCCTTGACTAATATAACTAATTATCTTTGCCGTTTCAAAGCTATCTTATTCAATAATTGTGTATCAACACATTAAATTTAATAATGACATTCTATTTATCTCAAATCAATTAACATTTCCACTTCAATAACTTTTTAAATGATTAATTATGTATGAAAACGATTAGTAACAATAAACATAACACGAATGGAGTTTTATATCGCATATTATCATCAGCTTTACTTCGTAGAGATAAATAATTCCTGGGAAAGAAGTAGTTTGAGTGATTAATAATAGACATCTTTGTAAATTAAGTTACTTACCCTTGTAAAGTGTTGTAAATCCATGGTTTATAATAAAAAACGTTGGTGTAAACTCCCGGTATTTCATTCCCACATCCAATTCCCCATGAAACAACTCCAATTTGTACACCAGACAGGATTAATGGTCCCCCGGAGTCGCCCTAAAATTAAAAAAATTACTTTTACTATAATTTAATTCGAATTTTAATTTATTTTTTGATGTTTAGAAAATAAATTAATAAATTTTTCTTAAAAAATACATTTATTTTATACCAAGTTCACATTTGAATACATTTTTTTTAACAATTAAAACCCTCCAAGTGCTTCTTCAATAAACTTCTTATACATACACATAAAACACACAATAAACGCTTCAAAATGAAATATTTCTTTACTTCCTTGTTTCATTCTATGTTCGTAAAACGCAGCTTTCTCAACAACTTGGCTTTTAAGTTGCATATCGCAATTTTTCACTAATTCCTCCACTAAAGTCTTAAAAATGACATCAGAAGGTATCTCGTGGGTAATCAATTCGTACAACATCCCTCGTATTTCACCCAATTTCTGCACGGTTTGATCGCGAGTAATCTTTTTGGCAACTTCACGTATAAAAGTCAACCAATCGGGATCTAAAATTTGTTGATTTTCTTGGAAAGGATATTGTTCAACACGGCATGATTCTAAAATTAATAAAGCCCTGCGTAAATTTCTGTTTGATTTAATCGCGACTTTTTTAGCAAACTCAACGGGGACGTTTAAACCTTCTTTTTTACAGGTTATTTGTAAAATTGAAACGATTTCTTCGATTGTTGGGGCTGGAACTCTTATTGAAAGACACCGACTTCTTATAGCTGGAGTAACTTGGGACGTTGAGTTACAAGTTAAAATTAATCGACAATTTGCGATATATTTTTCCATCGTGCGACGTAAAGCGTGTTGGGCATCTTTAGTTAATTGATCAACATCTGTTAATACGATCACTTTAAATTCTTTCTGACCGTTTATATCTAATTGTTGAGATTGCGCGACGTTTTTAATCAAATCCATCACTACCACACGATCATAAATACCCACATCAGAAGGATTTACTTCTATGTGATAATTACTACTAACAGTCATTATTTCAAGCTTTTTGTTTGAAGGGGTTGTAAATTCCATTTGTTCCATTCGTAAACGTTCTACTCCCGGTCCGTATAACTCTTTTAATAGGCACATAATCCGGGTTTTTTTGCCTGCCCCAGAGGGGCCGTACACTAATAAATGGGGAAAATCGCCTTGTTGGGTTAACCGCTTGAGGTTTTGAGCTTGTTCTTTATGGAAATCCAATTTTTGGAAATCTTTCGGGCGATATTTATCTACCCAAAGACTCATTTTCACTTTTTAAAGTAATAAAATCCCGCCGAATGTTTTCAAAAAAAAGTTAGGTTAGGTGTCTATAAATTAAAGATGGCAACCTTCAAAAATGAAATAAAACTGTTTAATCGTGAAAAATCTTTTAAATTTAGCTTAGCTTTTTAATAAATCCGTTAAGAACTTAATTATTTCTTAAAAATTAATGATTATAAACACAGATTAATTAAATTTAGAAAGGAAATGAAAAGTCACGTTTATACAGTGTAATTTTTCAAAGCTATTTTTTGGCGGGAGATTTAAAACCAGAGAGGATTTTAAGTAAAGTGTAGTTACGAATTTAATTACTTTTTTGTTTAAACATAATAAAAACCTCACTTTGTCCCACATAAAATGCAACATGTTAATATACTATATTAATAATATAATATAATAAATCATAACATATACAGGTGTTTCATAATATGTGCGCAGGACTTAAGGATATAGCTTGTCCAAAAATTTGAAAAAAACTTTCTATCCACTTACCCTCTAAAATGCACCATATTCGAGATACAGGGTGTTGAAATTTAATAAAAAAAATTCGTTTTTTGCGAATATTTTCGGAACTGTTTATCGTACAGAAAACAGCTTTTGTAAGCATTTTCTACTCGTAATAAGCTATCACATCCTGATACCTCGGATCAATAATATACAGTGATATCGGTTTACGAACAGTGGCTAAATTAACAAAACAAAGGTCTCAAGTATTAGAAGAAGTAGAAAAATTGTTGTTAGTTTGGATTAATGAAAAAAGACTTAAGGGAGATAGTGTAAGCGAGGCTTTTATATGTGCAAAAGCTTTAGAACTTTATCAATATTTATTGTCGAACCAGCCAAGTACAAGTGATACTAGTAGTGTCATGGAATTTAAGGCTAGTAGGGGATGATTCGAAAAATTTCGTCGACAAACTGGAATTCATAGTGTTGTTAGGTAGAGGCGGCTAGTTCGGATCAAAAGGCAGCAAAAAAATATGTGGAGGACTTTCGTAAATTTATAGACTTAGAAGGTTACGTCTCGAATCAAATTTTCAATTGCGATGAAACTGGGCTATTTTGGAAAAAAATGCCAAAGAGGACATATATATCCAAAGAAGAAAAATCACTACCTGGCCACAAAGCAATGAAGGATAGGCTTACATTATTATTGTGTACAAATGCAAGTGGAGATTTCAAAATTAAACCACTTTTAGTATACCATTCTGAAAATCCGAGTGTTTTTAAGAGCAATAAAGTAATAAAAAGTAAGCTGCCAGTAATGTGGAGATCAAATTCTAAGGCTTGGGTTACCAGAATATATTTTAGAGAGGTCAAATGACGTTTTTGCTCCTTCTGTTAAAACTTATCTTGAAGTAAAGAAGCTGCCCGTTAAATGTGTGCTACTTATGGACAATGCTCCTGCTCATCCTCCAAATATTGAAGGAGACCTTGATCCTGCATACAATTTTATAAAGATCAAATTTCTGCCATCTAACACCACATCCTTATTACAGCCAATGGATCAGCAAGTAATTTCAAACTTTAAGAAGCTATATACGAAAGATCTTTACAAACCACTGCATACAGTTTATTGATAATGCCTGGAACAATATCTCTTGTCGTACATTGCAGTCAGCATGGAGAAAACTCTGGCCAACTTCTGTGTCTGACAGACATTTTAACGACTTTCAGGAAGAAGCAGATGTGATACAAGACATTGTCAACATTGGCATAAGTTTGGAGTTAGAAATCAACGAGGATGATGTGGCGGAGCTCCTGCAGGACCATAGCCAAAAACTCATTCCAGAAGAACTTATGGAATTACAACTTGAGCAGGTGAAAGCTGTGGAGGAGGAGCATTCAGCAGAAAAACATGAGGAACCAGATGCTTTAACTGCTGATATAAAAGATATTTGCAATAAGTGGAATGATGTGCTTTTATTCCACAACATCACCCTGACAAAACTGTTACCGGTAGAGCAGTGGATATTTTATATGATAATGTAATGGCACATTTTCATAAAATTCTCATAAATGTTTGTTATAGACTCCAAATTAAACATGATTGCACACTACAGGAAGGTACAGGCGGAAATGTCTAAACGGGCGAAATATTTTAGATCTCTAAGTTATAAAGACAAAGGTATAAACACGAAGACAGCGATGCAAATATATAAGAGCATATGTAGACCATTGATCGAATATGGCAATAGTGTATCAATGAATCCATCCAGAAAAACGGGAGACATAACTGACAAAGCGGAAAGAAAATGCTTGAGGATTATCTCTAAGATTAGGCACCCAAACAACCCATTACACAACGTAAGAAACAAGACTTTATACGAAATGACTGGTATTGAACCTATAAGACTAAGACTAGACAGACTACGGAAGAAATTTTTAGACAACAGAAACAATTATGAAAAAATACATAAATTATGTTTAAAGAGACAAGCAGCACAGATGGAAGTTGATCAGAGGAAGACAATATCGGAACTTTTTCATAAATACTTAGCTGATAATGAATAATATTGTTAAAATTTTTTGTTGTAATTATAGCCAGCGGAAAGACCATTAGGTCGATAGCTGAAATAAAGATTTATTTCTCTCTGTTTGTTATATATTTGTTACATATGTGGTTTTATGTTTTTTTGATAATTACATCAACTACTATATTTCGCTTTCTGTATTGTTTCAATAAATAAAACCATTAAATGTTGAAACACTTTTCCATAACAATAGGAAAAATTGATTTGGATCACGAACTTTTCGGTTCACGAACAAGGTCGGGGAACGGATTATATTCGTAAACCGAGGTATCGCTGTAATATGTTATTACGTATGATATAATGATATTATGTAATTTGACATTACATTGTGTCCGTTATAGCTCAATAAAAATATACAACAATCCAGCGCTGAATAACAAATAAAACTAGACTAATACTAGCACTAAAACTAACACTAGACCTAGAAACATTCCGTTTAGCTGTACCTCTCTTAAGACAGCTGGTTGGTGGTAGGTAGCATAAAATATTACTATGTTGCATATTTCTATTGAACTAAAACTAGAACTAACACTAAAACTAGAAACGTTCGGGTTTAGCCGTGCGTCTTCAGGCGGCTAGTGTTAGTTCTAGTTTTAGACTATCGCAAGAACTAACATAAGACCTAGAACTAGAATCATTCGGGTTTAGCCGTCTTGAAAGACGTGCGGCTAAATCCGAATGTTTGTAGTTCTCGGACTAGTGTTAGTTCTAGTGGCAATGGTAGTAGGTAGCGCTAGTTAGCATAAAATATTACTATGTTGCATATTTTTTATTGAACTAAAACTAGTACTAACACTGGCACTATCACTAGAACTAACACTAGAACTAGAATCATTCATGTTTAGCCGTCTTGAGAGACGTGCGGCTAAACCCGAATATTTTTAGTTCTAGGTCTAGTGTTAATTTTAGATTTACACTATCATTATAACTAACACAAGACCCAGAACTAGAATCATTCGGGTTTAGCCGTCTTAAAAGACGTTCGGCTAAATCCGAATGTTTCTGGTTCTCGGTCTAGTGTTAATTCTAGTGGCAGTGGTAAAAAATAGAGTATAATGTACAAAATTTTAAATTATTTGCAACAAATAAATTAATATGTATTACCTGACAAGCATCTCTTCCTCCGTTAACATATCCAGCACAAATAGTTCTATGATTGCGGAATAACCCACGATATTTAGGTTGAATGTAAATAGCCCCACATGTTACTTCGGAAACAACAGGAACGGTTACACTTAACAAGTCATTAGAAAACTTGTTCTGAAATGGTATTAAAAATAATGAAATAAATGTTTAATAACACTAAAAATACTTTCTTCATTTGATTTTGTAATACCCCAACCAATTACTGTACAATCTTTATCTTCGTATGTATCAAAATGGATTGGAAATGTTGCGAATTTTATTGTAGGGCCTAATTCAAACGGCATATTGATCTGAAAAGATTTATGATACATTAAAGGATTGAGTTTGGTTTGTTTAATTTACCGCTATTAAACCTATATCGCAGGAGTTGTTATAAAAGTTGAATAAGGGGTGTGGGATTACAACCATTGCATTTCGTTCTTGTGCGGTTAGATCGTTTAGTTTTGAGACTCCCATTCGTAGTTTGAATACTCTATGATGTGATGGAGTATTAGTTCTTGGGTCTAATTGAATAAATTAACATTAATTGGTAACATTCATGAAAATATTTATTTTACTCAATAAGCAATGAGCAGCTGTTAAAACCCAAAGAGGCGCAATATAAGATCCACCACACCAATGATTTCCCCTCATCAGAATATTTACCTAAAAAATTACAATGAGGATGTGTTTTTTTAAATAACAATTTTACCATATAAGGATAATGTTTGATGTGGGTTGGTTTTCCCCCGATGATCCGAGGTTCTGGTCGAAATGTCATGTTTATTTGTACCGGTGTTGGTTCAGTACTATTCAATTCATCTATGCTGGGAGTTACTAATTTTCCATACGGGATTTTATCAAATTCACCTACAAAAGAAATGCAAAAAGAACGAAATAACTTCAAAATAATGTTTATACCTACCCATTTGTATCAATAAGATCAAAAACAAGAAATTTAAGATCATTTTTGCTTTTAATATATCAAATAATGTTATATTTTGACTGCTTTTGACGTTTAAATAAGAAAAAATGACAAGAAAAAACATCAAAAAACATTTATTTTTTTAAAATACATCACATACATAGTATATGGAATCAAAAAACATAGAAGTTAATTAATATTAAATTTTGTTACATATTATCATAATAAGAGTGTTAGTGTAAAACTAGAACTAACACTAGAACTAGAAACATTGGGGTTTAGCCGTCTTTAGAGACGTGCAGCTAAACGATATGATTCTAGTTCTAGGTCTTGTGTTACTTCTAGTGATAGTGCTAGTGTTGTAAAACTTGAACGAACACTAGACCTAGAACTAGAAACATTCGGATTTAGCCACACGTCTCTCAAGACGGCTAAACCTGAATGATTCTAGTTCTAGGTCTAGTGTTAGTTCTAGTTATAGTGTAAGTGTAAAATTAGAACTTCAGTGTTAGATTGTTGTTTATTTTTATAGAACGAAAACTAGAACTAACTAATTATCTTTGTCGTTTCAAAGCTAGCTATCTTATTCAATAATTGTGTCTCGGCACAGATATTGAATTTAATAATAGTGAGTCTCTTATGACGGCTAAACCTGAATGATTCTAGTTCTAAGTCTAGTATTAGGTCTACTAACAATCTAGTGTTGTTTCCATGCGGGATTGTTGACAGATTGTGACTGCTCTTACATAGCAAATGCAGATGCGTACATATTTCTACTCCTACTACCTACACTGCTATAATTCAGCTTTTCCTGAAATAATAACAAAAGAGGCAAAAATAAATTGTAAAAAATGGGAAAGAGAAACATCAAAAATATGAAAAACCAGTTAGACGCTTTCCCAACTACTTGAATAACTACCGTGCAATCTCTGTCCTACTTACAATGTCCAAAATTTTGGAAATTGTCATAAAGAAAAGCTTACTTAAATATTTGACTTATGAAAACTTATTAACGACTTGCTAACATAGTAAACTACTGCTTAATGTATTACAAGTGATCATAAGAGGTTTTGATGAACAAAAATATACTCAAATTGCCTTTTCTGATCTTAGCAAGGCTTTTGATTTTGTAAATCATGACATTCTTACTAAGAAATTGAACAAATACAGAATAAGAGATAAGGCCCTTAACCTGTTAGTTTCATCTCTCGATCAGCGACAACAACAAACTCACTGGAAAGGTACAATATCGGAGTGGAAGAGAGTCGAAACAGGTGTTCCGCAAGGTTCGGTTCTCGGACCGATTCTTTTTTTGATCTACATAAACGATCGCCGAATTTTGTAGCATCGATACTTCCTTTATAAACGTGGAAAAGGATATTGAAAGACTTCAGGTAAAAACAAGTACAACAATGGTTGAGACAGAAAAGTGGTTCAACTCGAACATATTAATTAATATGTTGATGTATTGTACATTAATGGATTCAGAAAAAAAATCTTAATCCAATAACGCAAAGAAAAACATACCGAGCAATTTGAGAATCAAAAGTTAATAATCGCTTGAAATTGAAAATCGCGTTGGAAAAAGTTTATTTGTAGCATGAATCATAGTATTCATGAAACCTTTTCCTTTGATACCTCGCTCATGAAAATCGGAATGTAAATGACAGAGTTACAGCTTGCGGCATTCTTGTGTGACAACCTGCATATACAGGTGTTTTTTCTCTGCTAATATTACATTTAAAATGTATGTATGGTACATAAATGGATTCAGAAAAACAAACTCTATCCAATGACGCGAAGAAAAACATACGCAGCAATTTGAAAAACAAAAGTTAATAATCCCTTGAAATTGAAGTTGGCGTTGGAAAAAATTTATTTGTAGCATGAATCGTAGTATTCATCAAACCATTTCATTTGATACCGCGCTCATGAAAATCGGAATGTAAATGACAGAGTTACAGATGGGGCGTTTTTTATCTTACACCCTGTATATCACCACTAGATTTAGTTAATGAAAATATGGCTAGTGAACACTATTTAAAGAAACATACCTATGTCAAGAATTTTACGTTTTCCGTAGGTCAAATCATAACCTATACGGTTTGATCGCAATTCCCGCTAAATTTGGCTGTTTTTCTCCTGCAATCATATAAAATTATACAGAGTGTTTTGGTGACTCGGGAACAAATTTAACCACATATACTAGAGTGAAAATGATGACGATTCATGTAAAAAAAATTAGTAAAAGTCTTCAAATTTCAAAGATACAGGCCATCAAAGTTAGGAAATTTGAACACATTTTTCCAAAAATCTTAAACACTATTTACAGTAAACCGCTGAAATTTGGTACAATATAAATAAATGTGATGTAAAATCGTTAGGCAATTTATGAGTTTTATTGGTCCGCGGGAACAATGCCATACAGGCTGTTCCTAAAGTTTGTTTGCTCAGTACATTTTTATTCTATCATAACCCTACATTTATTTTTGCAGTTTCTGATAATAAATTTAGTTTAGAAACTTTTATTACTCTTAGATAATATTGATAAAAATCACCGTTTTCGTGTTAAATGTAAAAATGTTGGGTTCCGATTTCAATAATAGTACTAAAAACAAGAAATCTAAGTTTTTGAACATTTCCTTTAGTATTTTTTATTACTTGTCTTGTACTTATGTACTTTTTTTATTATTCGTGTTAGTGTTGTCTTTTTTTTGTTGATTTTTAATTTATTATTTTTGGATTCTTTTATTAAACCAACTAAAACAACTTAAAAATGTGATTTAGCTAAATCTACACTTGGACATGTTGCATACCTAATAGTTATGACAGTTCAGTTCGATTTTAGTGTTATTCGGAGCCTAACATTTTTGCATTTAATACGGAAACGGTGGCTTTTATCAATATTCTCTAATAGTGATAAAAGTTTCTTAACTAAATTTATTATTAGAAAATGCAAAAATAAATGTAGGGTTATGATAGAATAAAAAAGTTCTGAGCAAACAAACTTTAGGAACAGCCTGTATAGCATTGTTCCCGCGTACCGATCCAACTCAAAAACTGCCTAAGGATTTTATGTGATATTAGTTTACACTGTACCAAATTTCAACGCTTTACCATAAATAGTGTTTAAGATATTTAGAAAAACGTGTTAAAATTTCCTAACTTTGATGGACTTTGATGTTCCCTGAGTCACCGAAACAGCCTGTATAGTTATATAGTTTTACGTTCGTGTGATGTGAGATAAGATGGAAAGAAAAAAAAATAAAGCTGAATATCTCTAGGAGACATTTTCGTAGATTGGTTACCGTTAATGAAACATTTTAGTAATGTACCATAATTGTCACCTGTATGTTGCAGAAACGTTTCAATGAAACATAAAAAGGACCGGACATTAGCAGTTTCAGACACGTTTCAACTATGTTTCAGAAATATGTCGAAGAAACATTTCATGTTTCAATAATATGTATCAGAAATGTTTCTGAAACGCAAATTTGTTTACTGGGGTGTTAATTCTACATAGTAACAGTGCCGTCTTTAGAGACGTGCGGCTAAACCCAAATTATTCTAGTTCTAGGTATAGTGTAAGTTCTAGTTTTACACTTGCTCTGTCACCAAAACTAACACTATACCTAGAACTAGAATCATTCGGGTTTAGCCGTTTTTGGAGACGTGCGGCTAAACCCAAATGATTTTATTTCTAGATATACTGTTAATTCTACATAGTAACAGTGCTAGTGTAAAACTAGAACTAACACTAGACCTGAAACGAGAAACATTCGGGTTTAGTCGAAACTTTCTAGTTCTAAGTCTAGTGTTAGTTCTAGTTTTAATTGTTATGCAGCGCTAGATTGTTGTATATTTTTATTGAACTAAAAGTAGAACTAACACTAGACCTAGAACTAGAATCATTCGGGTTTAGCCGCACGTCTCTAAAGACGGCTAAACCCAAATGTTTCTAGTTCTAGGTCTAGTGTTAGTTCTAGTTTTACACTTGCATTATTACTAAAACTAACACAAAGATCTTTAGAGACGCACGGCTAAACCCTTAAACTTTATAGTTCTAGGTCTACTGTTAGTTCTAGTTTTAATCGTTATTCAATACTAGATTGTTGTATATTTTTATTGAACGAAAACTAAAACTAACTATCTTTGTCATATCAAAGCTAGTTATCTTATTCAATCAACACAGATATTAAATTTAATAATAGTGAGTGTCTTAAGACGTCTAAACCTGAATGATTCTAGATCTAATTTTAGTGTTAGTTGTACTAACAATCTAGTGTTGTTTCCATGCGGGATTATAACAAATTGACCTACAAAAAAAATGCAGAAAGAACTAAACAACCTCATAATAATCTTTTTGTAATTCGCGACGGTAACGAAAGCTTCTAACAGTACTCAAACGGGTGCTGTAATGAGACTCCTTACAGCATCCGATGCTGTAATGAGATTTTAGTAACATTTTATGGAACCAGTTCAAGTTGGTGATATTGGGTCATTAATTTTTCTAGTTGTCAATGTGACAATGTTTGTCTATGGATGTTTAAACGCGTTCTTAGCATCGAATACAAGGTTCACAATGATGAGGACATTGAACACTGAGCAATTTCTCTTATTTTGGGAGGTGTACATGAAACATTTTTGTCAGGTGAATACATTTTGTGTTTTGACAGTTTCTAATTGTCAATTCAAAGTTTCTATTTTCAAGTGTTCCGGTGTTACCAACTGCTACATACCTATTTCCCTACATTGCCAAAATTTACTTTATTTTTGTTAAAAAAAAGGATAAAAACGCGAATTACAAAAAATAGCATAAAAAACACGTTTCATAAGACTTAAAGCACTCATTCATTAAAAAACTCGTGGCTTCGCCACTCGTTTTTCAACTTGAATTCGTGCATTTCAAGCGTGTCTTACGAAACTTGTTTTTTAATATACTTTTTTGTAATTCGCTACGGTAATGGAAGCTATAACAGTACTCAAACGGGTGCTGTAATGAGACTCCTTACAGCATCCGATGCTGTAATGAGATTTTAGTAACATTTTATGGAACCAGTTCAAGTTGGTGACATTGGGTCATTAATTTTTCTAGTTGTCAATGTGACAATTTTTGTCTATGGATGTTTAAACACGTTCTTAGCATCGAATACAAGGTCCACAATGATGAGGACATTGAACTCTGAGCAATTTCTCTTATTTTGGGAGGTGTACATGAAACATTTTTGTCAGGTGAATACATTTTGTGTTTTGACAGTTTCTAATTGTCAATTCAAATTTCTATTTTTAAGTGTTACCAACTGCTACATACCTATTTCCCTACATTGTCAAAATTTATTTTAATTTTGTTAAAAAAAAGGATAAAAACGCGAATTACAAAAAATAGCATAAAAAACACATTTCATAAGACTTAAAGCACTCATTCATTAAAAAAACTCGTGGCTTCGCCACTCGTTTTTCAACTTGAATTCGTGCATTTCAATCGTGTCTTACGAAACTTGTTTTTTAATATACTATTTTGTTATTCGCGATGGTAATGAAAGCTATAACAGTACTCAAACGGGTGCTGTAATGAGACTTCTTACAGCATCCGATGCTGTAATGAGATTTTAGTAACATTTTATGGAACAAGTTCAAGTTGGTGACATTGGGTCATTAATTTTTCTAGTTATCAATGTGACAATGTTTGTCTATGGATGTTTAAACGTGTTCTTAGCATCGAATACAAGGTCCACAATGATAAGGACATTGAACTCTGAGCAATTTCTCTTATTTTGGGAGGTGTACATGAAACATTTTTGTCAGGTGAATACATTTTGTGTTTTGACAGTTTCTAATTGTCAATTCAAATTTCTATTTTCAAGTGTTATGGCAGTGGCGCCGACTTTTTAATATTTGAGGGGGGGCAGAACTTTTTCAAATGGTACACCTTATTACAATAATGTATTGTACAATACAATTGTACACTTTTACAATTGTCCGGGGGGGCTGAAGCCCCATGCCTCCGACTACGGGGGGGCTCAAGCCCCGCAGCCCCCCCGTAGTCGGCGCCACTGTGTTATGGTATTACCAACTGGTACATACCTATTTCCCAACATTGTCAAAGTTTATTTTATTTTTGAGAAAAAAAAGGATAAAAACGCGAATTACAAAAAATAGCATAAAAAACACGTTTCATAAAACTTAAAGCACTCATTCATTAAAAAACTCGTGGCTTCGGCACTCGTTTTTCATCTTGAATTCGTGCATTTCAAACGTGTCTTACGAAACTTGTTCTTTAATATACTATTACATCAACCCATTTGTAAAAAAAAATGATAAATTTAAGATCATTTTTGCTTTTAATGTATCAAATAATGTTATATTTTAACTGCTTTTGACGTTTAATTAAAAATTGACAAGAAAAAACATCAAAAAACATTTATTTTTTTAAAATACAACATCACATACATAGTATATGGAATCAAAAAACATAGAAGTTAATTAATATTATTTTTTTTACATATTATCATTTGGATCCCTCATTACATTATCATTATCGTCTTGAATTTGTAAATGAATATTTCTAGCCCAAATTGGTGGTAAAGTTGCAAAAGTTAAAAACCCGGTATGTCCTGCTTGTTTACTAGGAGCAATTGAAGTCAACGTCTTGGAAAAGCTCATTCCATCCTTATTCCTAGTGTCATCATTATCGTTAATCATATCAGTTTTTTTATCCCTTAAAAACTCTAAATTTAACATATTCAAGCTTTTCGTTTGCACGTTATATTGCGATTGTAAAACCTCGACGGTTTGTAATTCCTGGAAACCTAATTCTTTTAGTTTTAAACAAGCTTTTTGTACTTGTTCTATACACGGCGAAAACGAACATATTCTCCCGCCGGTTTCTTTTAAACTGTTTAAAGCATGCGGAATTGCTAACCAAGGATGGGGCAAATCAAGGAATACCGCATCAGCTTTGTGATCTAAATCTGTGCCAAAACCATCAGTACACACATCTCTTTGCTGTACGGTTACATATCTTTGCAATCCGTGATCGTAAAACTCATCTTTGGCTATATTAACTCGATTTTCATGAAAATCAAAGGTGTATAAATGACCATGTGGTTTTACAGCGCGGATTAAAGCGTGTGATAATGAGCCACTTCCCGTACCGCTTTCAATAACGATACTTCCTGGATTTAATTCTAATTGTAACACAATCATACTTGCATCTGGGGTGTATATAATTTGGGTACGATGTGGTAAAGTTAATGTCCATAATTCCGGTGTCGGTTGTAAAACGTACCCCCAACCTTTACTCAAAGTAATCTTCGACCCATAATCTTTCCCAATCAAATCTCCACATTTTAACGCCCCATAAGGGGTTTGAAACACATTTTCAATCAACACACCTTTTTTACTTTTCGTTTTTGGCTCGGCTTTTACAGCGTAAACTTGATGTATCGTTAAATAAAGGATAACAGTATCACTTTCTTCAATTACTTTCTTAAAACCATCAAAACTCATGTTGGAATGTTCTTGGATAAAACTTTTTGAGGTTAGAAATTTAACTTTAATGTTATGAATTTAAAAACGTTTGATTTCGGAAGGGGGTTGTTCAGGTTCGGTTCTTTGAAGAGGATTTGAAGTGTATCGATTTGTTTAATCCAAAAATAAACTCAGGGACACTTGTGCAGAGGGGTGTTAATAGCGTTAAGGTGGTCCAATGAGGAATTTAGGTTAAGGTCAAGGTTTATAGAACATAAGGTTACCTCATTCCCTATGCCTCTGTAGTATCGATTATTACCCCGCAAATTGACGTCACTGGTTCGATACAGTCAGAATAAAAGATAGCTTATACACGTGCCTATACTGTGGTACAGTCTATATAAAATATTTAAACCTCGCATCGTGTTGTGTTGTTCATAGAACCAGCTACGTCACTGACCCACCTTGCCTCTCAGAGGAGGAGAATCGGTATTGGGTAACCTTACGTTCTATAGACCTTGGGTTAAGGTCGTGTATTCAACACGTGCGAAATCGAATTTGAATAAAAATTAATTAAATATTATATTTACTTTAAATAATTATGAAATAATTAGTTATTAATTAAATAAAATTTTTCAACTTTATTTCTTGTACTAAAAAATTGAACGCGTGTGGCGCCATCTCTTGAGGATATTTTGAAATTATTCAGCTAAGAACCGAACCACTACAATACAGGTTGGATTGGATTTATATATAAAAGCTCCAACCACAGAATAACTGTTTGGTGCCACTATGTGGCTCCAATTAACGTTCCGACTGGTTGGGGATTCCTCAAATGCAATTACACCTGTCAAATAATACCGCCACATTTGAATTTGGCATACTGCATCATATGACGTGAGATTGCATCTGACGAGCTTCCAACCAGTTATAACGTTACCTGAATCAAAGCTATAATGTCAATTATAATCTAATTAATTAATCATACCATTATTACTTTATTTATAATCGCTATAATCTTACCGAAAAAACACTGTACTTGTTTTACTTGTGACAACTTAGTGACGTTTTCATTTGTCAATTTTGAACAAACTTCACTTTTAAAATACTTAGCGGCAAATTTAAAAATATAAAACGAATTGGAATTTATACTTTTTAAATTAACAAAATAATACTGGTAATAATTGTTATTGCTGTCTCTTATCATTCCCACTATTAATAACAAAATTGTTAATTAAATTATTTCAGTATATGTAGACACTAATGCTCTCTTACTGGGGGATTTCGACATACAATCAGTCCCAAGTTCTCCTATCAAAAATACCTGGGGCTGCTATTAATCATTAGTTGGACTAATGAACTAATGATTGAACCTTCTGTAAGGAAGGTAAAATCTAATAGGACTGCTACATCCTAAAACCAAATGTTTTTAACTTTAGGTCTAGTGTTAGTTCTAGCACTAAATAACTATAAAACTGGAATTGACACTAGACCTCGAACGAGAAACATTCTGGTTTAGCCGTGAGTCTCATAAGACGGCTAAATCTGAATGATTCTAGTTCTAGTATTAGAATAATCTAGTATTGAATAACAATTAAAGCTAGAACCAACACTAGACCAAGAAGGAGAAATATTCTGGTTTGGCCGTGAGTTTCTTAAGACGGCTAAAGCTGAATGTGAATGAATTGATTTTGTGTATTTATTTGGGTTTTTTCCACAAAAGCAAATGGCATCAGTATCTAATATCGATGATGATATGATGGACGTGGTGGATCGCACCACAAGATATCAAAATTTATCGGAAGAAAAGAGGTGTGAAAGAAAGGTTAGCCATATGGTTGACCGGTGCTGATGGACCGGTCGAGGAAATCAATGCATCCGAAGACGACGACAACACGAATCCTGATTATGTGCCAACGTTGGAAGATGCGGCTTCCGATGCTGAGACAGAGACCGTTATAGAAACTAAGACTTCATATGGAGATGATGAGGATTTAGAAGATTTATATGCAGGCGATTGAAGCAATCAATATGGACTAAGAACTACGTTCGGCGAGCTCGATTATAAAATACCGTTCAAAGGATGGCAAGCTTTGGTCAAGCGCTCCGTCAGCTACAGGTAGACTTCGTGCGCATAACTGCGCCATTGTGGGCCTCTGGGTTCCTGGGATTATGCGAAACCCGATTTTAATATTTAAATCGCTAATAACACCAGAGATCGTTAGTTTAATTGTGTCTGAAACAAACCGGAAGGGCCAGGAGCTATGCCGTTATCGTGTACTAAGAATCCTAACCAGACACCGCGAACGGTGACAAAACCTGTAACCGAAAATGAAATATAGCCTGCTCTTGAGTTGTGGGGCAACAACACATCCTATCTACAGGGCGACGATTCTAACTAAAACTATTCTACAACATGAGCAACTTAGAGCGTCTATACAGCATGATTTATTAGCTCGCCATCAAACTTTGACATATGATAGCTAATCTAATTACAAAAAAAAATGTTAATGATGTATGTCCTATTTCAATTATTTACGAAATTATAACACTTTAACGTTTTAATTTTTATATCATAACTAACTGCTACATTTTTTTTAAAACACATAAATATTACAAATATTGTACAAAATAGCTTCCTTCTGCTAGAATACATGCCTCACAACGACGAAATAAAGAGTTCTTCAGCCGAATTAAAATGTCCGGTTGATTTGTTATTTTAGTAGCAGCCATCTATACTCTTTTTAATAACTGTTCTCGTGTGTTAATTTCTACTTGATACACAATTTGTTTCATATGACCCCATAAATAGAAATCCAATGGAATCTTTATGTTCATTAACATTTTTTTTTGGTAATTGGATTAGCTATCATGTGTCAAAGTTTGATGTAGAGCTAATAAATCATCCTGTATATAGCTCAGATAACAATTGATGAACAATTGTTCCCGTACAGAGACCACACGCGCTTCACCCAGTATATTCCGTCTAAACCAGCAAAATACGTAATTAAAGTCTGGTGGATGTGTGATGCCAATTCCAATTACCCACTTGAAGGAATAATATATGTTGGAAAACAGGTCTGAAATTGGTCGAAATGTACACCGGTTCTGGACAAACAATGTGTGCCGATAATTTCTTCTCATCTTTTGATTTGGCCACGGCTTTGATGACAAAACGGTTGGCATATGTATGAACCATGCGCAAAAACAAAGCCTGCATACTGAAGGAGATGTTGGATCCAAAACGAGGTGTATTCAGCACAGTATTTGGTTACCACAATAATAACATCGCGCTATGTTCATATGTCACATAAATGTTGTGGTTCTCATCGCGATCGAATAATACAATTCCGCCGTCGAAGCCACTTACTTCAAATTCTGGACTACAATATGTATAAATCCGGAGTGGACATCATGGATTAGATGGGTAGCGGTTACTCGTGCAAATGGGGCACAAACCCCATAACATGTTGGACGTGGCGGACTTGGCTGCATTCAATTATTCAATGTTTTTTCGCAGGTAGCTGTAAGCCCAGCATAAGACGATCAACCAGTCCATGCCGTTTCTTCTGCGACTCAACCATCGTGCTTGCTGTGCTATAAATTGGATAAAAAGCAGCATTCATTACAAGTGGTGAAAAAAACCGGTGTGTCAACAGCATTAACATGCCAAGTACGCGTGCCTTGAAAGCAGTGTCTAACATTTATTTTCCTACATTGTTACATAGAAAATATAAAAATATATTTTTATTATTGACCTTGTCTTTTTCCTAGCATTAAACACATTTATATACACTTTTAGTACATCTGCCTAAGTATTCCGATACAAACTCCATGTAGGTTTACGCAGACCTAGTTGTACAAGTTAACGCCAAAAAATCTCTGAACCACCTAGAGTTAAAACTGGAATTAACACTAGACCTAGACTGGTTTAGACGTGAGTCTTTTAAAGATGGCTAAACCTGAATGATTCTAGTGTTAGTTCTAACGCTAGTATTAATTCTTATTTTAGTTGTTATTCAACATTAGATTGTTGTACATTCTTCATTAAACTAAAACTAGAACTAACACTAAACCTAAAACTAGAAACATTCGGGTTTAGCCATACGTCTCATAAGACGGCTAAACCTGAATGATTCTAATTTTTGGGTCTAGTGTTAGCTCTAGTGACAGTGATAATGTAAAACTAGAACTAACACTAGAATTAGAACTAGGAACATACAACTAGGAGATTCTAGTTCTAGGTATAGTGTTAGTTCTGGATTTTTCAGACAATGTTAGTGTAATACTAGACCTAGAACGTTTCCGGTTTAGCTGTGGGTCTGAAGACGTCTTTTAATTGTTGTGCAGCGCCAGATTGTTGTATATTTTTATTAAACCAAAAGTAGAACTAACACTAGACCAAGAACTAGAATCATTTAGCCGTCTTATGAGACGCACGGCTAAACCCGAATGTTTCTAGTTTTAATGTTAGTTCTAGTGTAAAACAAGAACTAACAGTATACCTAGAATTAGAATCATTTGGGTTTAGCCGTCTTTATAGACGTGTGGCTAAACCCAAACGATTCTACTTCTAGGTATAGTGTTAGTTCTACATAGTAACAGTGCTAGTGTAAAACTAGAACTAACACTAGACCTAGAACTAAAGAAAAAATCGGGTTTAGCCATGCGTCTGAAAAAAGTTTCTAGTTTTAGGTCGTTAGTTCTAGTTTTTGTCGTTATTCAGTGCTAGATTGTTGTATATTTTTATTGAGCGAAAACTAGAACTAACTAATTATCTTTGTCGTTTGAAAGCCAGGTATATTCAATAATAATTATGTATATTAAATGTAAGAATAGTGAGTCTCTTAAGATGGCTAAACCTGAATGTTTCTAGTTCTTGGTTTAGTGTTAGTTCTAATTTTAATTGTTATTCAACACTAGATTATTCTTTAATATATCAAAATATATAGGATTATTAATAAATAAAACTCAAAAAAACAAATTAATAAGTTACTGAAATTTATTTAAAAATGAATCCCTAATAAAAAGATGAAAACTAAGCATATATACGTTATTTTATATTATATTTATATATAGATTTTAATAATATATTATATGTACTTTATTGTAGCATACACATAGTTTCTTGTATTTTTTCTGTTTTTTTTTTTTTATTAATTTTAAAACTCTCATGAGACAGGAAAGTGTAGTAGTAATAAAAACCCAAGATTTTGCAATAAACGGGGTTGAAGGTATGGGTTTTAAAGAGGATAATGAGACACTGCATCAAAAACTGGGTGTGGGGAGGAGTCGCTATAATAAACTAACTCAAAATACAAAAAAGTATAAAGAAAAAAACTTAACGCGCTCTCTCGATAATTTTTTTCGTATTTTTTTAACATTTAAAAGTGTACAGCCAACTTTCACAAACGTTAACATATAACTACGACCTACTACTTTGATTTTTTTTATACGCCGGACCAACGAAACCTCGTCCATCTCATTCACTTTGACGATTCCTAACTATGTACAGTGGTGTTCCTGTTGCCCAAAAAGTAGACGAAGGGGGGATGGCCGACGACAAAAATTTTTTACTTAAGTATGCCCATTTTTAATTTTTTACTAATTACTTAAACATTTGCGGCGGCGCTCTTACGTTGTTGTGTACATTATTTAATTAATTAAATTTTTTAAATCCTTTTTTATTTTTCATTTCCGTCCTCGCTAATGAAGTATTTTTGATAAATTTAATTTCTTAGTTTTTTTTTATTTAAATGACAACAAAATAGCGTACGGTGAGGCTCCACTACTACGTTGATGATTTTTCTAAACAAGTTAAAAATATATTATTAATAATCATTTTTTATAATTATTGTTTATTCAACATATCTCGTTGAATATTAATACATTAATTTTTAATGTAATTCAGAAATAACTTCATTTGCAATCTTCAAATTTCTTAATTTGTGTTTGTATCTCTTGTTTAGGAAGGGATTCAATAAGAATTAACACAAGAAGACTAGCTCAAGAAGTGGAAAGAACATTTCTCCAATTAATCCTTTTATTCCATTTAAGACACTCATCTGATAATTTAATTTAACAGAGAGGTTATGTTTTGCAACCAAGAAGATGTTATAACAAAATATCCAATATACATAGTGTAAAAGTTAGTACATATAATAGTATATAATGCAACTATGAACCATTTCCCTTTGAATTAATATGTCAGATATGTCAGAAAACCCCAATGAGATTAACAAAATAAGAAGAACCTCTCTAGCCTTAATCAACCCAGCTATCATAATTTATTTATACTTTTATAATTTGAAGATTGTAAGTCATGAAGTAATTCCTCAGTGTTAAACTAAAAATATATAAAACATTTAAAAAGTTTATAAATAAATATCGAATAAAAAATTATTAGAATTTACCTGCAATGTGGCAATAACCGAATAATATTGCTAAAAACCCAGCGCTTCTTCGTAACTAACAGCACTGTTTTCGAGCGCTGTCCGAATTATCGGTAGGTTTAACGTCGATGGGTTCAACGTTGTGCGGCCGGATGGTGTCACCTTCGGGTGGGTCACGAATTTGCTTTTGTGAGACGATCCGGTAGATTTCCGTCAGGATGTTTTGGAACGCGTTGTCGACGTTCGTCGAATCGAGAGCGGACGTCTCAATAAACGAGAGGCCGTTCTTCTCGGCGAACGCTTTCGCCTCGTCCGTTAGCACGGCTCTTAAGTGCCTCAAATCCGACTTATTCCCAACCAACATTATCACGATGTTTTGGTCGGCGTGATCGCGCAATTCGCGTAACCAGCGTTCGACGTTTTCGTAGGTTAAATGTTTTGCGATGTCGTAGACGAGAAGAGCTCCGACTGCACCACGATAATAAGCTGCCGTTATCGCTCTGTAACGTTCTTGACCGGCCGTATCCCATATTTGAGCTTTTATGGTTTTACCATCCACCTAAATTTCAATTGAGAAACAAAAATTATTAATTAAGTGTTTTTAAATTAAGTCATGAATGGTATTGATAAGTTATCGATTCAACAAGTTTTTATTTTTAATGAGGCAATAAACAACGATTAACAAGCAATCAAATTCCTTTGTTCTTAGTATTCAGCAATAATATGACGAGGGTTCTATTTTGCAAACAAAGATGTTAAGAAATTCTTTTTGTAATACAATATTGTATATGGCATAAAATGTAGGGAGGGGAACGAAGAAAAACCCTAGTAACTTTGCAGGTATTCTCAGAGATCTCCCTTTAAAAGGAATAATGTGCGGAAAGTTAGTTATCGAAACACTAGATTATGTTGTATTTCAATATTTATAACTTTCCAAAAATTTGGGAAAAATTAAGAATAGTCATATGGCTTGAAAATCGACGATATTTTTTTAATCAGTTTGAAATCAACCCAACCCAACCCAAAAAACACGTTAAAAATAAAAAAAATAGCGCAGAAAAGTGTAGAACATACCGAAAAATCACATTAAAGTTCGATATGACGTCTCGTTTTGTGACCGAATGTTTCTAGTTCTAGGTCTAGTGCTAGTTCTACTTTTCTTTCAATGAAAATATACCACAATTTAACGCTAAACAACATTTAAAACTAGAATTAACACTAGACTTAGAACTAGAAACATTCGGGTTTAGCCGCACGTCTCTCAAGACGGCTAACCCCGAATGATTCTAGTTCTAAGTCTAGTGTTAGTTCTAGTGATAGTTTTAGTGCAATAAAAAAATGTAACGTAGTGATATCTTACACTAACCAACGCTACCTATCATTGTCACTAGAACTAGGAATAGACCAAGAACTAGAAACATTCGGGTTTAACCGCACGTCTCTCAAGACGGCTAAATCCGAATGATTTTAATTCTTGGTCTTGTGTTAGTTCAAATGTAAAACTAAAACTGACACTAGACCGAAAACTAGAAACATTCGGGTTTAGCCGCACGTCTCTTAAGACGGCTAAACCCGAATGATTCTAGTTCTAGGTCTTGTTAGTTCTAGTTTTACTGCAATAAAAAATGCAACGTAGTGATATCTTATACTAACCAACGCTACCTATCACTGTCACTAGAACTAGCAATAGACCTAGAACTAGAAACATTCGGGTTTAGCTGCACGTCTCTCAAGACGGCTAAACCCGAATGATTCTAATTCTAGGTCTTGTGTTAGTTCTAGTTTTAGTGCAATAAAAAAATGCAACGTAGTAATATCTTATGTTAACTAGCGCTACCTATCACTGTCACTAGAACTAACAGTAGACTTAGAACTAGAAACATTCGAGTTTAGCCGCACGTCTCTCAAGACGGCTAAACCCGAATGATTCTAGTTCTAGGTAATGTGTTAGTTCTAGTTTTACTGCAATAAAAAAATGCAACGTAATGATATCTTAAACTAACCAACGCTACCTATCACTGTCACTAGAACTAACAATAGACCTAGAACTAGAAACATTCGGATTTAGTCGCACGTTTCTCAAGACGGGTAAACCCGAATGATTTTAGTTCTTGGTCTTGTGTTAGTTCAAATGCAAAACTAAAACTGACACTAGACCGAAAACTAGAAACATTCGGTTTTAGCTCCACGTCTCTCAAGACGGCTAAACCCGAATGATTCTAGTTCTAGGTCTGATGTTAGTTTTAGTGATAGTCCTAGTGAAAACAAGAACTAACACTAGACCTAGAAAGTATCAGGCTTAGCCCAGCCCAGAATTTATAAACCACCCTCTGCTCAAATAAATCAGTAAATTAGGTTGATTCGAATGTAACGTTTAAAGAGGGGACCCTACCCTCCTCTAAAAAGATATGTCGCATCTGAGTGACAAAGAGTGACTACTAGTGTTGTAGCAGCAATTATTCAATCTGTAATGGAAGGTACACAAAAAGATATCACTCAACAGGAGAATAATTGCAGTAAATAGTCTTCAGCCAGTAGTATTGTAAACTCCAAGCACTTAGTAGTGTTTTGACAGCAGTATATAGTCTTCTAAAAGTATTAAGTAGTCTTTGCCAACAATATCTAGCTTACTCCAAGCAAGTAGTAGTCTTTCCAACAATATTTAATATTCTGAAAGTAGTTAATAGTCTTTTGAAAAGGGAGATAATAGTTTCCTACTTCTCTAGTAGTATATAGCGCTCTGAAAGCAGTAAGTAGTCTTATGGAAGCAGTATCTCGTCTTTCCAATCAGATTGTAGTTGTTTGTTAGTACTATCTAGTCTTCTCTAAGCAGATTGTAATCTTTTCCACCAGTATCTAGCATTTTGGAAGCAGTAGGTGCCTTTTTTAGAGAGCATATCTCTTCTTTCCAAGTAGTTATTAGTCTTTTCCAGTAGTATTTAGAATTCTGGTACATTAGGTAGCTTTTTGGAAAGCATATCTCTTCTTTCTAAGCAGCTATTAGTCTTTTCCAGCAGTATCTAACATTCTGGAAGCAGTAGGTAGCCTTTTGGAAAGCATATCTCTTCTCCAAACAATTATTAAAGTCTTTGAAAGCAATAAGGAGTCTTAGAAGCAGTATTCCTCCTGTTCAAGTAGGCCAAAACCTTTAACAGCAGTGTTTAGCGTTTTGGAAGCAGTAAGTATTATTTTGAAAACAGTACCTAGCCTTTTTAAAGTAAGTTGTGGTCTTTTTCTGCAGTATCTAGCATTTTAGAAGCAGTAGGTAACTTTTTGAAGTAGTATTTCCTCTTTCCAAGCAGTTTTTAGTCTTTTTACTAGCAGTATTTGATCTTTTGATCGCAATAATTAGTCTTTTGCCAACAGTAGCCAGCATTCAGGAATCAATAAGTTAAAACGTTTAGATTATAGATGATAAACAACGACATTTTAGTCGTTGTGCGTCGAAAACCTAAGAAACAGCCGTATTTCATCCGAAAATATGCGTTTTAAGCAAATGTGCTGCGAAAATATATGGTTAAGTGACGTCACGTCGAAACTTTAAAGTGATTTTTCGATAAGTTTTACATTTTTCCACACTTTTTTTTATTTGTAACGACTTACTTGAGCGATCTCCTGTCCATTACAAAAAAAAATAGTCGATTTTTAAGCGAAATGATTAAATTACACCAAAATTGGTCCTGATTTTTTGTTCCACAATAACTCGTAAGTGATTGATTATTAAAAAAAATTAAAAGGGAATGTTTAAAAGCATCAATTTAAACAATTAAAAGCATTTTGAAGGAACTGTCACTTTGACAGTTGACTCATAACCTAAATTTTTTTCTTGTCAAAAATTTTAATCGAATTAAAACATGTATTAGGGTTAACCAAAGAACATTGAAACCAACCTGTATGCTACGTGTGGCGAATTCGACACCAATCGTAGACTTGGACTCCAAATTGAACTCATTCCTAGTGAACCTCGATAATAAATTACTCTTTCCGACACCGGAATCGCCGATTAAAACAACTGCAAAGTAAAAAATCAATGTATAAAACAAATAGATTAGCAACAAAGGTGATAAATTGTATAAATATATTTAAAGTGGCATGGAATCGAAACCGCTGATTCACGAACAAAAAAAATAGGTGACTAATTTCTATTTACGAGACAATAAAGATAATGTCAAAAAAAAACCGGGTTAATACAACTAACAAAATTGAATTGTAATAATAGAATAGGACATTTAATTTATTATTATTACAAGATTAAATGGTTTCGATCACTTGACCTCTTAAAAAATAACACTATGCCTTGTCATCAACATGACAGTTACGTCAAATGGACACTGGCACACAAATAACCCGGATTAAAAATCTATATGCGAAAATAATCCCGTTAAAACCAAAACCAACTAAAACTTGAAACGTACCTTTAAATAAATAATCGTACTCATCATCCCTAGTGCTCATTATTAAAACGGTTTCGTCTCTTATGGGTTTCGCGAGAAAAAAGGAAAACAACAAATATATGTATATATAGATGTAGATATAACACTTGTATAGTTTTTAGTTCATATCACTACGGTTCGTGGGGATAACAAATATATAAGGGGGCGCGCACTTAACGTTATCACAGGCACATATTAGCACGGTTTTGGACACGTAACTAACCGATGACAGATATAAATCCAGGAAAATCGCCGTTAACTCGCACCAAAATGGCGGAAATTTTTTGTTTTATTGTTGGCTGACCGCCCCTTCCTTCAACGCAACCAATACTACGAATATAGCCGCACGTCGTATCAGCACTATATTCATTCATATATGAAGGATACGTTCTAAACTTAATCAAAATAAAAAAATTACAATTTTTATTCTATTATTATATTTAACACCAATCTAAACACATTTAATTAACAACTATTTATCGTTTTTTTTATCTTTAAAGTCCAACATTTTTAATTTGTTGTGTACTGTAATTTTCTTTCGAGCCACCGTGGGCCCCGCAAATTTTGCTTTTACATCTCGTTCTTGAGGAATATAAACTTCGTACATTTTGTAATACTTCAATATGTGATCTTAAAAAAATGATTTATAAAAAGTTAATTTATTAATAGATTAAAAAAAATCTTACTTGTTGTATCTTCTGGAAGTAAATACTGTTCAGCTATTTTACTAGCACTAAATGTTTTTTTATCGCTTTGATGATCAGATATAAATTTAACCACATTTCTCAATGTAACTCGCCCCAAAGGCACTTTTTTAGGTTCGTAAAATCCATAATCTCCACTATCTACGTACGTTCTAGAAGTAGGTAAAGGTCTATCAGGGTTTGTTGTGCCTTGCGATTCATGTTTAACCTAAAATGATATTATATTGTATAAATTAATTAGTTAATTTAAAAAAATTACCATTGGATCATGAGATCTAATAAATACATCTTTTAAACGTTTATCTAAACCATCGTCTTTCTCTAAAGCCTTTTTGAATTCTTCAGGTTGATTTTTAAGCATTTGTTGGTAACTTAATTCATCTGATTTGTATTTAGGTGCTGGAGTTGGTTTTGGTTGAGAAATAACTTTATGAGCTCTACTTTCTATATTAAATTCTCGTATTGGTTTCGTTATAATTTTCGATATAGTTTTACCCATGACATCAATAAATAATGATTTAATTTATATTTTATATTAATTAAACAATTTAGAGCTTCACACGTTCGGTTACTTAACTAAGTTGAGGTTATGTTCAGTGTGATTTTGACAGAAGAAATTTATTTTGTTTTAATTTGATGATATTAATAAATAAGAGTAGATATTAGGATCGATTTATTTAAGTATTATTTTATTAATTTTTTTAAGGTTACGTTATTAATTAAGAATTATTTTTAATTTTGAAATTTGCTATCAGAAATAAAGGGTGCAAGGTTGGCAACCGTGGTCCCGTAAAATATGGCGCAGATGACAGATATCTAAAACTCGAACGATTTTCTTTGTTTTCGTTCGCGATTGAGTGCCTTTTAGCGTTAATCCCACCAAATTTCCGGAAAACCCGAAGAATACTGCCACGCGGATTACTTAAACGACCGGAAAAATCACCCGCCGCGAGAAGTGCTTATGCGGTGTTGTTAAATTCCTTTTAGAAAGAGACGGAACACGGCTTTAAATCTGTCAGATTTTCGCTCGTTTTATGGATTTTTGGGGAATATTTCGGAGGTAAGAGGTGTTTATGTACAAAATTCGCTACTGGGGAGACGATCCTTATGTTTATAATCACTATAATTCGTTTACTTAACCGAGTATTGCTAAAGAATGCCCCTCTGGTATGCGATAAAAAGAGATGGACCGATCGCAATTTGGCACATATCTTTAGCATTGCCTGGGGCTTTCTTGCACATTGACAGATACTCTTATATTATCATTCACATATACAGAATCTGTGATTGTATTTAGAAGTTTTCGTAATTAATGTTTAATAATTAAATCTTAATTATTTCTAGAATTCCTATAAGTGAAGAGTTTTAACCCAAAGTTATCAAATGTGAATCCTTTTCAAGAAAATCTGGAGTGCTAGCTAAGCTAGCGTGCAATGTGAGACGATTGAGGGACGTTTGAGGGCCCAGTATGGGCCATCAGCCTTGGCCCCAAAGTGCAATGAACCCCACAATGCCAGCCCGTTCGTCGGGCTATCACCAAAAGGCGCTGGAGGAGATCCACAATTCGTTGCTGCCCTTTGCAAAAAGCAGCGGCGATATTGGTGGGTCCAGCGCGGCTAGTACCATATCAAATCTATCAACGACGAGTGGGGCGAGTTCCCTCAGCTCTACTTTTGGTAGTAATGGTACTGAAAAGGAATACATGAAGCAGTGTATGACTTATTTGATAAATATTGGTTGTTCAGAGGAGATGGCTATTAAAGCTATGCAAATGTCAGAAGGGCGAATGGAGATTGCGGTTGATTATGTTAAGCCCATTCTTGAAAATGGTACGAAATCTTATCAGAAATTGATGAGGAAGCCGAGTATTGAAAGAGATTTGGTTTTGCATCGAGGAAGTCCTGCTTTAGATAGCGGGGCGGGTAGTTCTCGCTCTGATAGCCCTCGGGTGGCCGATTTACATCCGCCTGTTAATCGGCAATACTCCCCTAGCAATTTTAGCGAGCCTCCCCCGCCTCCTCCACCAAGAAATACCCCGCCACCACCTCCGCCACACGTGTCTTACCAACCAGTGATTCAACAAATGTTTAAAAGGATGTCTCCAGCACCAGGTGTGCCTTCGCGAGCGCCCCCAGCAGTGCCTTACAACTCCCCCGCTCCCTCCCAACGGGGAACTAGTCCAGTTAGTATGGTGTCATCATCAGGAGGAAGGCAGCCGATGGTTGTTCAAAATAGCCCCCAAGTTCAGCAACAACTCACGCAACAAATTCAAGCATTGAATTTATATCAAAGTTCAACAACAGGAAACGCAGAACCGCCCCCTCCATATCCATTAATCTCACCTTCATCAGGGGGAAATGCCCCACCTCCTCCGAGTTACAGCGCATCGATTCAAAATCGGCAAAGTCCAACTCAAGATTTTCGAAAATCGCCTTCGTCGGGGATTTATTCTGGTTCGGCATCGACGGGATCTCCTAGTCCTATCCCCGTGGCGTCTGCAACACCTACATCCATGCCGAGGCCAACTCCTATGGCGGCTCGCGGGGCTAGACAAGCAAAAACCCAACCACCCATTATAATGCAATCAGTTAAAAGTACTCAGGTACAAAAACCAGTTTTACAAACAGCCGTTGCGCCCACAAGTCCTCAAATTCCCCCATCACCAACGAGTACAATGCCAATGACGAATCCTCCCCCTCCCTACACAGCTTCAATTCAACAAAAACAATACGCGAAACCCGCTGCGCCAAATCCTACATCTCCATCATCGGGGGCCGTCGCCGTACCCACCACGGAACCCCCAAGCTACGCTAGTACAATGCAAGCGAAAGCAAAAGCTGTCCAACAAAGAGTTATGTTGCCTCCCCCACCTTATTCCGATGAAAACATCGCAGCCCAAGTTGCTACAGTTGAAAGTAACATGACTCCGAGGGCAGCCGCTCACATTCATCCTCCACTACAAAGGAAATATTCCCCAGCCGTTCAAGTAGATTCAAGGGAAAATTGTGAGAGTCGATTGCCCCCATACCCAGATAATGGAGCACCACCTTTACCACCTACAGGTAAATAAAGGGTTTTTCATTAAGAGCGACGCATTTTGTTTTTAACATTTCTCGAATAGGAGTGAAGTTGGTTTCGCAATTCTTTCACATTTTGAAACGTCAGTTTATGCCATTTAATCATGGATATGCTTCAACAACGTTTGCAAATTATTCAACTTTTTTATCAAGGTTCACGTTTTATCGCGACTACATTGTGTGCGCTTACGCTAATTTTCGGTTGACGAATTGAACGTTTGGTGCCAAATTCGAATCGACTTATGCATTGCATAATGTCCCATCGCCTGTGCGATGACGTAATGTTCGAAGTGAAGAAAATATCGTGGCCGTTCGAGAGAGTGTACCAATCGCAGACGTTGAACACCACTTTGTGGCGAATTTTGTGGAAGGATTTGGCCCTTCGCCTGTAATAAGATAAGATTTCGTTGACTCAAGAACTGAAGCCAACTGACCATTTTAAGCAGCGCAAATTCGCTAATTAGGCTCTACATTTAATACCTTTGTAGATTCAGCTGATGATGGCTTATAAGCTGAAACCGATTTTGAATATATTAACTTTTATAAGAAAAGATTTGCAGGCTGACGACGACTTTTACAAGAAAATCATCTTTTCTTATAAAAATTAATATATTCAGAACCGCTTTCAGCTTATAAGCCATCATCAGCTGAATCTATAAAGATACTAAATTAAATGACAAGAAAATATCTTAAAATAAATGATAACTTTCTGTCAAAGATAAAATAAGAACTTAAACATAAGTTAAATAACTTACAACAATTACAAAACTTACAAAATTTTGGACTTACATGATAAAATAACAAGAAAACTACACCACAAAGACGAATGAACTGACTGTCAAAAAACTAATTTATATAACAAGACAGGAATAAGAGAGATGGAGTGAGATCAAGGAAAAAAGGTGAAAAGCGATTTGCGCTGGAGTTCAATTTGTTCATTTATAATAGTTATTTTTGGATTTTTATTGTTTTCAAAAATTTCATGATGTTCAAGTAGATCTATTTTATGATGACACTTAATGAAGTGAAGAAAATTTGTGGCCGTTTGAGAGAGTGTGCGTGAGCAGTCAAGGATGTCGATTCGACGCCGATCACAGACGTTGAACATCAGCGTGACCAGTTTGTGGTGAATTTTGCGGAAGGAAAATAAGATAAGGTTGCGTTGACTCAAGCACTGAATTCAACCGACCATTTTAATCGTCGTAAATTAGCTAATTGGGCTCTGCACCAGATGCAAGCTGACGACGACTTTCAGAAGAAAATCATCTTTTCTTATAAAAATTAATATATTCAGAACCGGTTTCAGCTTATAAACCATCATCAGCTGAATCTACAAACATATTAAATTAAATGACAAGAAAATATCTTCAAATAAATGATAACTTACTGTCAAAGATAAAATAAGAACTTAAAGATAAGCTAAAAAACTTAATGTAAAACTAAAATGAAAATCTTTAAATATAAATATAAAATATACAACATTTTGGACTTACACGATCAAATAACAAGAAAACTACACCACAAAGACGAATGAACTGACAGTCAAAAAACTAATATATATAACAAGACAGGAATAAGAGAGATGGAGCGAGATCAACGAAAAAAGGTGAAAAGCGATTTGCGCTGGAGTTCAATTTGTTCATTTATAATAGTTATTTTGGGGTTTTTATTGTTTTCAAATATTTCATGATATTCAAGTAGATCTATTTTATGATGACACTTAATGAAATGAAGAAAATATGGTGGCCGTTCGAGAGAGTGTGCGTGAACAGTCAAGGATTTCGATTTCACGCTGATCGCAGACGTTGAACATCAGCGTGACCAGTTTGTGGCGAATTTTGCAGAAGGATTTGGCTCTCCGGTCGTATAAGATTACGTTAACTCAAGAACTGAAGCCAACCGACCATTTTAGGCCCGTTCACATAACAATGATCTGACACGCGTTTTTTAAGCGCGCGCTTTGATATCCAATCAGCACGTCAGATTCCGACGCGCGTTCATATGAACGGTTGTATTTAAATACATTAGCGCCTTTTACACCAAGAGTTTTTTCTACAGTTTTGGAGCGCACACAAGCGTGCATGTTGGACCGCGCTCTTGGAGCGTCCGCTCACGGCATGTGACCAACAAACGTAACGACGTGCCAAACCTGCATTTCGAACATCCGGTTTTGACGCGTACAACTCATAAGTGGCATATAAATGCAAAAATATGACATTTTACTAACTTTTGGAGTGGAGTGTAGAATTTCTGCCAAGTTGAAATTTTTGGAGACACTCCTATACTTTTTTAGTCACGTTTGCGAAAACATTTCAGTTACAATTATTGTTTCTATTTCAATTCAATTTCTATTTTTATATTCATTATATTTTACTTTCCATAAACAATTATCTTTGTACATTTCTATAAATACACTGCTGGACATAATTCACGAGCACACCCTGTATAATGCGAATTCTCTGTAGGGTTAAGTTTTGTGTTCCTTCAAAATGTAAATCTTGGCGCGTTCGAACCAAAACTCTTCTGTGAAGTAAACAAGTATAAACGCTGTGCAGGTTCTAACCTGCGTTCCAACCACGTGAGCCGCGAACGCGCGCGGGGCACGTCTACGATCGGCATGTTTACAAGGGCAGTTTTGGTACGAGCGCTATGGATTGTACGCTCCAAAACTGTAGAAAAAACTCTTGGTGTAAAAGACGCTATTGGATATCAACGCGCGAGCTTAAAAAACGCGCATCAGATCATTGTCATGTGAACAGGGGTTTGCGCTGGAGTTCAATTTGTTCATTTATAATAGTTATTTTTGGATTTTTATTGTTTTCAAAAATTTCATGATGTTCAAGTAGATCTATTTTATGATGACCCTTAATGAAGTGAAGAAAATATTGTGGTCGTTCGAGAGAGTGTGCGTGAACAGTCAAGGATGTCGATTCCACGCTGATCGCAGACGTTGAACATCAGCGTGACCAGTTTGTGGTGAATTTTGCGGAAGGAAAATAAGATAAGGTTGCGTTGACTCAAGAACTGAAGTCAACCGACCATTTTAATCGTCGTAAATTAGCTAATTGTGCTCTGCACAAGATGCAAGCTAACGACGACTTTCACAAGAAAATCATCTTTTCTTATAAAAATTAATATATTCAGAACCGCTTTCAGCTTATAAGCCATCATCAGCTGAATCTATAAAGATATTAAATTAAATGACAAGAAAATATCTTAAAATAAATGATAACTTACTGTCAAAGATAAAATAAGAACTTAAACATAAGTTAAAAAACTTAATGCAAAACTAAAATAAAAATCTTTAAATATAAAATATACAAAATTTTGGGCTTATATGATAAAATAGCAAGAAAACTACACCACAAAGAGGAATGAACTGACAGTCAAAAAACTAATTTATGTAACAAGACAGGAATAAGAGAGATGGAGTGAGATCAACGAAAAAAGGTGAAAAGCGGTTTGCGCTGTAGTTCAATTTGTTCAATTATAATAGTTATTTTTGGATTTTTATTGTTTTCAAAAATTTCATGATATTCAAGTAGATCAATTTTATGATGACCCTTAATGAAGTGAAGAAAATATTGTGGTCGTTCGAGAGAGTGTGTGGGAACAGTCAAGGATGTCGATTCGACGCCGATCGCAGACGTTGAACATCAGTGTGACCAGTTTGTGGCGAATTTTGCAGAAGGATTTGGCTCTCCGGTCGTATAAGATTACGTTAACTCAAGAACTGAAGCCAACCGACCATTTTAGTCGTNGGTTTCAGCTTATAAACCATCATCAGCTGAATCTACAAACATATTAAATTAAATGGCAAGAAAATATCTTCAAATAAATGATAATTTACTGTCAAAGATAAATAAGAACTTAAAGATAAGCTAAAAAACTTAATGTAAAACTAAAATGAAAATCTTTAAATATAAAATATACAACATTTTGGACTTACACGATCAAATAACAAGAAAACTACACCACAAAGACAGTCAAAAAACTAACTTATACAGGCTGAGTCAGAAAGAATAGGAAATCCGAATACCGGAGATACTAGACACCAAAATATGACGATTTAACCTAACATCTCTCGTACAAATGTCGGTGGTTTTCGCGGCACAGGGTGTTGAAAGTTAAATTCTTATTTCGAAATTTCTTGATAATTTTGAAGGTTTTCGTACTATTAACATAAAATTTCTTAGTTTTATGTTTTCGAGCATGAGAAGTACCAATTTGAAACTTGTTTCCAGATACACGCTGCTCGTTTGATAAATCAAATCATAAGTTTTTTGGCTCGACAGCTACGACCAATAAGAGCTGCAAATTACAAAGAGCATTCAATTTTACATAAAAAAGGTACTCTTATTGAAATTGTCTAAGTCTATCGGTTTTCGAATTATTTACTTTTAAATGTTTAAATGTATTTTTTCTTCTAAAATATTTATTTTTTAACATAAGGGTTATTTTTCCGCTTATGTTTCGACAATTGCCTGTTAATTGTCAACATTGATCTAATTTCCTTGTGCAATTATCATCTTTACCAACAATAAAGTTATTACCAATTTGAAAATGCCACGACAATGAGTTTTTTAATAGTGAGAAATCCAAATTTAAGTCCACTGGATTTTTGAAAATGGTCACAATATTCTATTGTTATTTATTAATTAATTGTTATTGTTATCGATTATTATCGTTACTAATTGCTATAGTTACTGTGTGTTATTGATTTTAAATGTTAAAATTACTTTGAAACAATTAAAAGCAGATAACTTGGAAACCAGTAGACTTAGACAATGTAAGCAAGAGTACCTTTTTTGTGCAGAATTGAAAACTCCTTCAGATTTCTGGTTCTAATTCACCATACCTCAACTGACAAAATAGTCATGACTTGATATCTCAAACGTACAGTGTGTATCTAGCGCCCTCTACGAGTAATCACAAAACAAATATCAAATTCGTATTTTTCATGCTCGAAAACATCTAACTGCCAAATTTTATGTTAATAATACAAAAATCTTCAAAATTAAAGAAATTTCGAAATAAAAATTTAACTTTCAACACCCTGTGTATTAAAAACCACCGACATTTGTATAAGACATGTTAGGTTAAATCGTCATATTTTATTGTCTAGTGTCTCCGGTATTCGGATTTCCTATTCTTTCTGACTCACCCTGTATAACAGGACGGGAATAAAAGAGATGGAGCAAGATCAACGAAGAAAGGTGAAAAGCGGTTAGCTTTGGAGTTCAATTTGTTCATTTATAATAGTTATTTTTGGATTTTTATTGTATTCAAAAATTTCATGATATTCAAATAGATCCATTTTATGATGACCCTTAATGAAGTGAAGAAAATATTGTGGTCGTTCGAGAAAGTGTGCGTGAGCAGTCGCACCCAGTTGAACATCAGTGTGACCAGTTTGTGGCGAATTTCGCGGAACGATTTGGCTCTCCGCTCGTATAACATTGCGTTGACTCAAGAACTGAAGCCACCCGACCATTTTAAGCGTCGCAAATTAGCTAATTGGGCTCTGCACCAGATACAAGCTGACGATGACATTCACAAGAAAATCATCTTTTTGGGTGAAGCCCACTTTTGGCTTGATGGTTTTGTCAACAAGCAAGCTTGTCGCATTTGGACTAGTGAGCAGTGTGAAGACACAATATATGATATCGGAATATTCTTGGGACCAGCTCGACGCTATGAACTTGGTTCCAACAGGATGGTCCAACGTGCTATACAGCTACGACTCAATCGAATTATTGAAGACCAAGGTTGGAGAGCGAGTTAACTCACTCACGCAACGATGCTCGGGAATGGCCGCTTCGTTCGTGCGATTAGTATCGCACTGTCGCTAGTCTATGCCAATAAGCCAGCAACGTTAGAAGAGCTGCAGGCCAACATTGAACGCGAAATTCCTGGTATCAGCCGAATCCCAAAATTGTACGTGTATCGTAAATTGTAAATTGATGTCGTATTCCATAAATAATAACATCAATTTATACTTTCATTTGCAAAAAAATCATTTTCATAAGTAACCCACAAGTCTTATAATTGAAAAAATAAAATGCGTCGCTCTTAATGAAAAACTCTTTATATTAAATAAATAATTAAAAATATTAATTATATTTCCTTACTAGCTTCATCATCGGTAATATCAAAAAACAACGTCAACAACACAAAAAATAATTCGGATAATCGTTCAGAAGGTCAACAACCTCCATTTACAACGATAAAACATCAATCACCGATCCCCGAACGGAAACAAATTAGTAAAGAAAAAGAGGAAGAACGGCGCGATTCAAAAGTGCGCAATTATTCCCCGCAGGCATTTAAATTTTTTATGGAACAACACGTCGAAAACGTCATAAAATCGTACAAACAACGTCTTTATCGTAAAATTCAACTCGAAAACGAGATGAGTAAAATCGATCTGAAACCCGACGATCGGTTGCAAATGCGCAAAATGTTATCGCAAAAAGAATCGAATTACATACGGTTGAAACGGGCGAAAATGGATGAGAGTATGTTTGTGAAAATTAAACCGATCGGCGTGGGGGCTTTCGGTGAGGTTACTTTGGTGAAGAAAATCGACACCAATCATCTTTACGCGATGAAAACTTTAAGGAAAAGCGATGTTTTGAAACGAAATCAAGTGGCGCATGTTAAAGCGGAACGAGATATTTTAGCGGAAGCCGATAATGAATGGGTCGTTAAGTTGTACTATTCGTTTCAAGACAGTGATATTTTGTATTTTGTTATGGATTATATACCCGGGGGTGATTTAATGTCTTTACTTATTAAATTTGGGGTGTTTCAAGAGCATCTAGCCAGGTTAGATTAAACATTAAATATAGTAAAACCTCGATATAATGGACAAAATATTTTTAAGTCAATTATTATTCAGTGCTAATTGTTGTTATGGGATTTTGTAATTTATTTATTTATATTGGGGAGCAACAACAGGAGAAACCCAATAAAGCTGCTCCACATAATTAGTAATATACAAAACGTTTAAAGTAAAAAAAAATTAGGTNTTCAAATAAATGATAACTTACTGTCAAAGATAAAATAAGAACTTAAAGATAAGCTAAAAAACTTAATGTAAAACTAAAATGAAAATCTTTAAATATAAAATATACAACATTTTGGACTTACACGATCAAATAACAAGAAAACTACACCACAAAGACGAATGAACTGACAGTCAAAAAACTAATTTATACAGGCTGAGTCAGAAAGAATAGGAAATCCGAATACTGGAGATACTAGACACCAAAATATGACGATTTAACCTAACATCTCTCGTACAAATGTCGGTGGTTTTCGAGGCACAGGGTGTAGAAAGTTAAATTCTTATTTCGAAATTTCTTGATAATTTTGAAGGTTTTTGTACTATTAACATAAAATTTCTTAGTTTTATGTTTTCGAGCATGAGAAGTACCAATTTGAAACTTGTTTCTAGATACACGCTGCTCGTTTGATAAATCAAATCATAAGTTTTTTGGCTCGACAGCTACGACCAATAAGAGCTGCAAATCACAAAGAGCATTCAATTTTACATAAAAAAGGACTCTTACTGAAATTGTCTAAGTCTATCGGTTTTCGAATTGTTTACTTTTAAATGTTTAAATGTATTTTTTCTTCTAAAATATTTATTTTTTAACATAAGCAAAGTTCGGTTATTTTTCCGCTTATGTTTCGACAATCGCCTGTTAATTGTCAACATTGATCTAATTTCCATGTGCAATAATCATTTTTACCAACAATAAAGTTATTACCAATTTGAAAATGCCACGACATAATGAGTTTTTTAATAGTGAGAAATCCAAATTTAAGTCCACTGGATTTTTGAAAATGGTCACAATATTCTATTGTTATTATCGATTATTATCTTTACTAATTGCTATAGTTACTGTGTGTTATTGATTTTAAATGTTAAAATTACAGTAAAGCTTCACTAATCCGAATCAATTAAAACCAGCTCAATTCAGATTATGGAAGCATGCGGATTATTGAAGTCATATTTAAATATTATCAAAAAAAGTCTTATAAATACTTATTTATAGATTTATTGTACTAGATAATATATGCAATACATGTTTTATACAGTTTATTTAAAAAAATCAAACAACTTTGTTTGTCGCATGCAGTCTTGTTTAAATTTCATGGCGCGTTGCCGTAGAATTCTAAGGGTTGTTACGGTGTTTAAATCGACTGCATTCTCCTCCGCCCATTGAATACATGTACTGAAGCTTTTAATAGCATTCTCATGTTTTACTTTTAATTGCTATTAAATTAGCCGATAGTTTGTCCCAAGCATTGGCAAGCATGAACACAGCATCCTTAATAGAAATATTCTTCAGTACTTTGGAAATATCGTCTTCCTCTATAGATAGAACATGTTCTAAGAGACTTTTCCGGTAATACACTTTCGTTAAACGAATTGCATTTTGATCCATAGGTTGGATAAGTGGAGTACAATTGGGTTGGTATAACGTAAACAAGTAACTATAAACTATAAAACTAAACGTGTTCCAACTTGTTTAAACGGCCACACAAAAAGACCGTTAATTCCGATTAGCGAATCTTCTAGCAATTCGGATTGCAAGGGACATAATGCAAATTTCACGTTTTCTAATTTTGTTCGGATTACAAGGGAATTCGGATTTGGGGGTGTTCGAATTAGCGGAGCTTTACTGTAT